TGTGTTTAATTTAAAATCGTTCATATATTATTGTATGTCTCGCTCGGAGTACACCTAGAGTGTCAAAAAATCACCGGTTGAAATATACCGGCGAAAAATCACTCGACATGCGCAGTATTATTTTCCCTTTTACCTCCATGATCGTTGGATTGTTTTGTGATATTGTGATGGTGAGGTGATGGTTTTGTGCATGTTTTGTGATTCGGAATTTGGTAGAACAAATATGAGTTCGTTTTCCAACTTTAATGTAGTTACATTAGAAAATGGGAATATTTTAACATCGGAAAACGGCGAGATATGTTTACAAAGCATTTTGTTTTTGAATAATTCTTATTTGAGGTTACCCGACTTTTCTTTTAGATGGAAGCTTATGTTTTGTAAAACCAACGCAAGAAATAATAAATGCTTTTAATACGCAATCCTGCGATGAAGCAGTGGGACAAACAGATGACAATTTGGAAACATCGACAGAATTATTGTTCCTCATTTGATTCCGATGTAAAAAATGAAAATAAACGTATAAAGTGGCCAAAAAGTGCCATTTTAATGTTAATTTATTTAAGAATAAAATATGACGAAGAATTCAAATCTACTATCAATAAAAATGAGATAACTTGGAAACGTATTGCACAAGAATTAAAACAGAATGGTTTTAATATGACACCTACACAATGCAATGATAAGTGGCGATATCTAAAAGCGAAATATACTTCAGTAAAAGACAATAGAGGTGACAAAGGTATTGGCGAAGAAGCCCTTGATTTTCCATACTATGAAGAAATGGATAACTTTTTAGCAAAAAAACACAACTTTAAACCAATAGCAGCTTCACTTAGAGGTGATACAAGTAAGTAACAATTTAAGAGCCTATATAGCAAACTTTGACTGACATAACATTCTTAATTTCTATCAGACTTATAATTTTAATGAACTTTCTTGCAACTGCCAGTAAGGTAATTTTATTAAGCTACTAAGAGCTGATTACACCATTGTGTTAAAAGAAGATTAAAATGACATTAACGTAAAAATGTCATTTTAATCTTCGTTCTGAAGTTTAAACTTCGTTTAATACAATGGTGGAATCGGCCCTAAGCTACATACCTATATTTTATAGTGTCTAATGAACATAATGCAGAGGTATTAGAAGCAGTCCAAAGTTCCAAAGAAAAAGGCAGTAAAGTGAAATCGAAAATATTCAACCTAAAAAAACAGGCCTTCTCACCATCTGGGATGAAATGAAACTGACAAATAAAGAAACAGAGATCGTCGGCACCAGGAAATACTAGCTGTTAGAAACAGGGCAGTCGACGTGTTCAGTGATAAAATGGATTTGCTGTTGGAAAAATTTAAAAAATAATGTTAGAATAGCTTTTAGTTAGTTATAATTTGTATTTTCAAGTTTAGTTAGTTTTATGAAGATATTTTTAAGAATGGATATTTTGTTTTATTTTGTGATTGGGTTATTAAAATCCAAAATTAATAGAAAATTGTTTATTTTATTAACATTGAATAAAAATATAGAATATTTAGTTTTTAATTAATTTCGATTTGCATACAGTTCTCTAGATATTTGATTCCTTCGAAATCTTCCAGCTTCTTCTATTTGAATGTTATTTATAATTAAGTTATTTTCTTCATTTGCAATATTAAGAACTCCTTGTTGAATGTAATCTTCAATACGGAGATCATTATGATTTAAACAAATATTGTGCAAAACGCAGGCTGCTACAACTGTTCCAGGAACAAGGTCATTTCGATTCATATCAAGAAATTTTAATCTTCGAAATCTTCCAAATAATAAAGCAAAGGTTCTTTCTATAACCTGGCGTGTTTTAGCATGCACACTATTAAAATAAATTTGTGTTCGAGTTAGGTTACCTCTATTGATATATGGAGGAATACACCATGGCAGGACAGGATATGCCTTATCTCCAATTATATAAGTATTGTCTGGAAAATAATGTAAAATGTTGTTTCAAATAGCATGGTAAATATCGGAATTCCTAAAAATTCTTATATCACTAACAGATCCTGGATACCCAATAAAAACATCTGTGAACTTAAGATTGGGCTCAGAAATTGCCTGTAAAGTAAATGCATAATTGCATTTTCTTGTAATATAAGATTGTGGGTCCTCTTTGGGTGCTTTTATTTTAATGTACGTGCCATCAACTGCGCCTATAACATTTTGTAAATTTGCAATATTCTGGAATTTTCTTTGAACTTCAATGAGTCTTTGTCCTTCAGGCCACTTTCTCTGAGAAGCAATAGAGTTTAGAAGTTTGACAACTCTAACAAAACAAATTGAGAGAGACGATTTTGCTAAATTAGATCTTTCGCCAACTGATCTAAAATAATTATAGTTTGTATATTTATTATTACTTCAATAATAAATACATACCTATAGGACTCTGGAGTCGCCAGAAGCCATCTAATTGTGGTCCAATCAAACGCAATAAACTTTCGTATGTATCTACGGTCATTCGAAAATGTTCTTGAAATTGTTGGGCGTTAAGTTCTGGAACAATTCTCTCTAAATAATTTTCTATCCGTTGGGGAGACTTTAATTTTCTTTTTTGGGATAACAAAATCATATTCATAAATTCTTCTTCCTCACTGGAATCATCTTCACTCTCCGAAAAGGATACTACATTTTGAATAACTAATATTTCGCCAAGACCAATTATTATAATAATAAATGTGATTATAATTTAGGTTATTTTTATTCCACTCTATCCACCTACCGTGAAATTTTTGTATCATGCTCATGCATGATACCGATCATATTTAGAAAGCACTCTGACAACGCTCTATCCGAAATTTCGCATCACTCTGACAATATAAACATTGATTACATTATATCAGTTCATTCGTTTCTTAGTTATATATGTTAGTTTCTTGTTCCGATAATAAAAAGTTTTTCATCATAACCCTACGTGCTTTATTATCAATAAGCCACCTTGTCATACAACAGCCAGCATGATAATAAATGGTTGGGGATCTTTTATCATCAGCCCATTCACTAAATACAAAGACGTGACAATTATTGCAAATCACATGTATTAACACAGGGACACAAAGATGCAATGGAATTTGCAAAATCGTTAATGGAAATCGTTCCAGTTGACATCCAACTAAACCAATCTTCACACCAATTAATAGAGAAAAACAAAAAAGTGCTGCCCTCAATTTTTTCATGTATTATTTTTTGCATAACACATGATTTAGCTCTAAGAGGCAAAAATTAGGATAAAGGCGTGCTTATTATAGACTTGTGTCATTTATGCATCAAAGCAGGTGATTCACAATTAGTACACCATTTTCAGCACGGACCAAAAAACGGATCATGCCGATTACCTATCATTCAAAATGAAATAATTGGTCTCTGTGGCCCTTCAATAAAGGAACAAATGATCTCAATTGTTAAATAAGCTTGTGCTTACAGAATTCTGGCTGACGAAACTGCAGATATATCTGACAAGGAACAGCTTTCTGTTGGATTACGTTTCTTTAATGAAAATACCAACGAAATCAAAGAAGAATTCTTAGGCTTTGTAAAGCATAAAGGACTTAATGCAGTAAGTATTACCAAAGCCATTGACGATTTTGTGATTTTGTGACAGACTTAGACCTAGATCCTCGAAGTGTATGGGGTTCGATTTTGATGGATTTTCCACCATGCCTGGAAAAGAGGCGAGCGTGCAAGCGATCTTGAGGCAAAAGTATAAAAAAGATTTCTACTGCTCTTCGCACAATCTTAACCTTGTCGTGAACTATGTTCAATCTCTCTTTATTTAAATCCGTGCTAAAAAAACTATTTCTTGCAAGTCAGGTAAATTTGAGTCAATGTGGCAAACGCGAACTGCAATGATGTGCCCGAGAAAGGGGAGACGAGAATATTGCAGCATTAGATCATCAGACATCGAACGATTTCGTTTAACACTGTTTTGCTTTTTAACTTGTAACGCCGATTGTATCGGCTTTTTCATTATAATTGATCTTGCTATTTTTAAAATAAAACAATAATTTCAAGAGTGATGTGCATTCTTTCAAATGACTTTAATGTTATCTCGGAAATACGAAACAGCGTTGGAACTATCAAGGAGAAAATTAAATTTTTCCGCGAATCTGTTTTACGACGCAAACGTATTGCAAACATTCCTAAAGTGTGTAAAACTAGGTGGTCAGAGAAATATAAAAGCATTCGTGTTTTTAAGAAACACTTTGTCGATTTAGTTGATACACTAGAGACATTAGCTGAGGAGGGAATGGAGCAACAAGAAAAAGTGCCTATCAAATGCTTTTATTGTATCAGTATCATTAATTGCTAAGTATTCCGCCATTCTGGAACCCGTAGCAAATATACTTTAAATAAAGACACTTGAGCATAGTCGAACATATTCAAACTATTGTTGAAATGCTAAGAGATCATTGAAAGAATGCGAAGAACGTAACGTTGAAATTTTAAAAGAAGCAGGCGATATAGCAAAGCCTTTGAATGTTGATATAACTGTCGCTCGTATTGCTGGCCGACAAAAGCATAGAAACAACCCTCCAGCCAAAAACCCATGCGACTTTTGGAAAAGATCTCTCATAATTCCTTACTTAGATTCATTCATTGGATCTCTCATTTCCATCCGGGTAACATGAAACATGTTTCATTGGAAGAATGGAAAAAAGCACGTCATCTTGTGAAAGTTTCTACAATTTGAAAGGCACTGAAACAGAAGGTGAATTATGGTTCAGAATGTGGAATAAGATGAAGGAAACACGAGACATCACCAAGATTTTGAAAAAGAGCGAAATGTTTTTTTGCGATAATTAGAAAGGCTCTTCTGATATTGCTTTCGCAACCTTGTACCACTAGCACTATCGAGCGTTCGTTTAGCTTTCTTCGTAGAATCAAAACATGGCTAAGGAGCAGTATTAGTGAAAATAGATTGAATGGATTAGCAATGATTAGCAAACGAAGAGCAATTGGTAGAAGATGTAATTAGAAGATGTGTAAGCAATACACGCAAAGTATTGTTAAAAAATTAAGTTTTGATGATGATATTGGTGACCCAGACTTTGAGCAATCAGATGATGAATGGGGTAGTTCTAGTGATAGTGATGGTGATGACGCAGGATTAGATTTATCAAAACTTGACGATAATATTCCCGGTATGTTAGACAATAATTTAAATTAGGAAACACCGGTAACATCTCCAATAAACCCAACACCCCAACTAAAAACAAAAGCACCTGCAGATGTAGTCATATGGGACGCAGTTGAAGATAATTTCAAACAATTACCATTTACGAAACAGAGAGAACTTTTAGTTCAACAGCTATGACCTCGCCTGCAAATTGTTGTCTAGGAAAACCTATTGTACTGGTACTCTAAGGGCAGATAGAAAACAAAATCCAGTTGAGGTAAAAACTGCTACTTTAACGGTGTTATGTTAGGTAAATGGAGGGATAATAGAGAAGTACGTCATACATATATCAACAGAAATTGGAAATAACTTTAAAAAATATTATAACAGACGCCAAAAAGAAACAGAAAAGCCGGAAGCTATTTGCGAGTATAATAAGTCTATGGGGGGCATAGACAAAAAGGACCAAATGATGTCGTATTATCCATGTGACACAAAAACCTTGCGATGTTATAAAAAAATTGCAATTTACATCTTTTATATGCTTTTGATAAATTCTTTTTTTTTTTATTCAAAAAGTACGAACAACCAAGAATGTCCTTGTATGAATATCGACTTCGAATTCTTGAGTATTTACTACCTGAAAATCAAGGTCGTGACTCTGCCGAAAAACGACGCACCACGAACCACGTTTCAGAAAAAAATCCTCAAACAGGAGAAAAGAAGAAGCATGCGCATCGAAAGTGCACTAACTGCGCGAAAAAAAAAAAAGGTCCGCAGAGAAACAGTTTTCCATTGTCCATCCTGCCCTGGAAAGCCGGTCTTTTGTTTCGAGCCTTGTTTCGCCGAATTTCATAAAAATATTTAGTTTATTTATGTTAATAATTTCCTTTTGAAAATGTAATACATTTACCAAGGCGTCTTTAGACGTCTTCCACCTCTGGCCCATTTTTTTTGGCAGGAGGCGGACGACGTCTTAAGACGTCCTAGTCCTAATGGCGTTAATTTTTGGTATTTTTATAAATAAATATGTTTTTAATTTCTCTGATATCCAAACTGTTTCTTATTTCCCAAAAAACTATTTTAGTTTCTGGGGGTGGGTAGTCTCATACCTGTCAGCAGCGAACGTGTTAAAATCTATAATAATTGCTCTACAAGACATTGGGTTAAATGTAGTAGCTACAGTATGTGACCAGCACAGCGCGAATTCTTCAGCCATAAATTATTTGGTTGAGGAAACAGAAAGGGAGTATTTGCGGAAGGGGGAAGAAAAAGGCCACATAGGTTTTGAAATCAATAAGCGTGAAATAATCCCTCTTTTCGACCCCCCGCATTTACTGAAGGGCATTAGGAACAACTTCATCAACACAAAAGTCCAGTTCGTTTACAAGAACAAAAGTAGAGTTGCAGCAGGGGAAGATATTGTTAAATTGTACGAAATCGATTCAGGCTATTTCAACACGAGAATATGCTACAAGTTAACAGACGCCCACATCTACGAGCAAAAAATTAAGAAGATAAAAGTGAAAATTACAGCACAAGTTGTCTCACAGAGTTTCGACTGCGATTAGATGGTCAGTCCGATACGGTATGTTAACAACGTCAAAATTATAGAAATAATTTATTAATAAAGCAATTTCTTTTTATCCGATAGGAAGAGAAGGTCTGTTTGGAGCGACAATGGAGGGAACAGCGGATTTTACGAGTTTCATAGATCAACTTTTTGACAGCGTAAATGGCTCCGCAATGTTTCCTGACCATGGAAAAATTATTATATGCGAAAAGAATATAAAATATAGATTAGCATCCGCAGCAAAAAAATCCATATTTTTGGAGAACAATTGTAATGAGCACAAGCTATTACAAATTTTTATTGATATATTTTTTAATTTTTATATATAAGCATATATAAAAAATATTAATGCTGTTTTAAACGGTAAATACTCATTGCAATTGAATGACAAAATAAAACAAATTGCACATGCAAAATACCGCAAAAACAAATACAAATTTTGTAAAAATTGAGCAATTTCTTTTCGTAAAATAATGAATTCTTACATTGTAAAATTTTTTAGGTTATAGGTTTAATATAATTGTAATTAAATCTAATGTATATAAATAAAATGTTAAAAAAATTTGAATATTTTTATCATTTGTTGCTTATAAATTGAAACCATAAATACTACATATATGTATTTTAATATCCCGCGTTTTTATAATAGTTACCAGACCCGCGCACTGTTGTTTGGCGCTTTTAATAGAACGTTCTAATGACAAGGAGAGTGCTATCTATAAATATGTTTAATCTGTGGATACTACTTATTATTACTGTAACCGTAGTGGTAATTAACACTGCTATTTTCATTTATATATATTTATAACTTGTATGTTTAAGAGGGAAAGCCCACTCACGCGATATGTCGCGCGCGACTGATCGCGCGCGGCAATACTTTTGATGTTTTTAAATGACTCAAAGCCCATTAACGCGGTTCCGTCGCGTGGTCATTTAAAAACATCAAAAGTATTGCCGCGCGCGACATGTCGCGTGAGTGGACTTTCCCTCTTAAAGGGAAATATAGAGTCGTTGCCAATACTGATCCTAAACGGAAGACCAAAACTCAAGGGACATGCAAATTAAGTACTGCCTGTACTAGTACAATTCAACTAAAACTTGAACTACGAAAATGTAATGTAAAATATGTTGCATTACATTATGGTCATAGTATTAAAATACAACATATACGTCTGTTAGATACGGACCGTGTCGTAATTGCAGAAAAATTAGCCAAGGGTGATTCAATCAAGGTATCTATATCCTTAAAAATATAATTCTGTGGGATGTTTTAAGGTAGTTTGTTTTGTTTTTAGAATTTTAGATTCAACAAGGGAAAATATACAAGCTGAAAATTTAAAACGAGTTGATTTACAGACAAAAGTGGACATTTGTAAGCTGAAGAAGGGTTACAGCATTAATGATGGAGTACGCCATGCAATTGATACTGTAAGTGTAGACATATGGATTCAGGAATATCAATCAAATGAAAGTGATACCATATTTCACAAAAACCAAGGTGATAATCACAGCTTGTTCAGTCAAAATGATATGTGCTTAATATTTATAAACTCATCACAAGAATGTATGTTAAAAAAATTGGAAATGATGGTGTAATAGGTATTGATAGTACACGACATGGTCTAAATAGCTGACTATGAGCTGACTACTTATTATGGTGATAGATGAGTCGGGAGAAGATTTTCCTGGTGTATGTATGCTTACAAACTGAAAAGATATCAGTTTTTCATTTTTTTTTTTGATACCAATCAAATTAAGGCTAAAACATTAATGACAGATATAACGTCTGTGTTTTATAATGCATGGAATGTTAGCATGGGACCAGCACAATATCAGATATTTTGTTCTTCGCATTTTATCATGCTTGGAGATTTAATTTAAATAAAATCTCCAACACTGATAAAAGAGAAAATGTTTATCATGCTTTAAAAGTTTTACAAAATAAAATGGAGGTCGCTAAGTTCCTAGAAAAATTGCAAAGGTTTATAGCCATGCTGAAAGAAGACTTAGGACACAGTTATGCAGATAAATATAGCATTTGCTTATAGAAAAACTATCAAATATTTTTATCTTGATGAAAGGGTATTAAAACGTCTTGATAAAGGAATTCATGTAGTAAATACTTATATAAGAGATAAAATTGTTGAACGGATGATCAAGCAGGTTAAAGGTAAAAATACGTCACGTATTGGTGACATTGAGAAGCGACATGAGGCAGAGTTATATTCCAGGAATACGTAGAATAATGATGAATAGTATATACGCTTAGAAATATGATATGATTAATCGTAGTTTATAAATAGTGCAAAACCATAATTGTAGCATTCGGAATAAAGTAAATTTTTAAAAATTCGTTTTTAGTTTTGAAACCTTTAACTGCAGCTTCAAGAAGCGCATTTGTTGTTGCGAGTCAATCAGTAAATATATGGTCTGTGTCTCATTTGGAAAGAAAATATTTAGTATCGAAAAATGAAGAACACGATATATGTTGCCAGTTGAAATGTATAGCTTGTAATATTTGCATTCATTCATACTGATGTACTTGTATAGATTATTTTGTTAAGACCATTATATACATTATTGTTTGAATTTGAATTCAAACCGCTATGTCAAACAGCACGTTTGACAACCCACAAGAAATATATATAACGGAAACAGCCGAAGGCTGAACACGTCGTACACTTTTATTTCATAAATAATAAAAAACCAACGCCTAAAAATAAACAATAACAATGCACAAGCCCTAATAAATAATTCTAATAGTTAAAATAATAAACAACTCACATAAATAATAATAAATAAGAATAATTAGATAATCCCTCCATAATCAAGCTCCCTTATTGGCCAAACGAAAGGGTTTAAGGCGTGTCGGCGCGGGAATAGAGCCAGTGCGTCTCTAACACTCAACGTGAAAAGACGAGAGTAGATTTCTAATACTCTGTGATGAAACGCGCCTCCCCTGCTCGAGCAGAAAAAGTCTGCATTTATTGCATACGCGGAAAGTAGTGCCTTTGCAACACACCCTTAACGGACTCGACCCGGGATTATCGGCCCGCGAGTCGCGACATTAAGAAACTACGTAAATTCTCTACATCGAGTGAGTGTGGGTTTCCCGCCTTAGTGCGTATGTCAGCAAATCAGTGTAAAAAGTGCTAGTTGTAAGCAGGAAGCCCACCTACAGGTGCAGAGCCTGCACAGGTTCTTTTTTTTTATTTCCCCTTTCCTCTCTATTGAATAATTGTAAAAGATAACATAAATCGTTTGCCTGCAAGACCGGCATGTTTTGGCAGTGTTGCCACTTGTCACTAACTTCTTACCGACCCTTTTGATAATATAGAATGTTCAATGATTCCCAGTGAATTATTTTTCCCAATCACCAAGTGTTCCAGGATGCTCTCCCAGTGCAGCCATCGAAGAAAAATGTAATAGCGGCTTAACAAATGAACTACAGT